AGGATAATGATTAATGTGATTAGTGACTTGTGACTAGCTAGTGAGAACAAGTATACTCCTCCCATTCCTATTTATGTATGTGTATATATGACACCCATTTAAGATTTTACACCCAGTAAAAAAATTTAAGTTAATTTACTATTATACTTTTATTTAATATTTTCTTAAAGTTAAGTTTATATAAATATACATGAATTAATTTATTTTGATTAATTAATTCGACCAATAAATATGATAATTGATTTGCCTTTTCTTCAAATTTTCTCTATTTATATTTGATATTTTATTTGTGGAAATTACATAAAAAGTACTATAGACACTATAACAAAAATAATTTTTAGCGGTATTAGATATTAATAAAGAGTGCTAAAGTCTTTACCGGTATTAATTAAGTGTCATCAAAATCAATATCGCTAAAGGCTTTAGGAACATATACAAAGAGTGAAATTGTTGCTAAAAATACATATTTAGTGACAATTAAGAATTAAATACCGCGAATGATCATTTTTGTTGTAGTGAGATTACGCTAATTGATGTTACTAACTTAAATTGTTTCAACAATAAAATTTAATTAACTTTCATAGTTTTACACGTATGTCACATAAATTGAGACAAAGGGATTAACATATATTATTTGAAATTTATGTTAATTAATTTTATCATAAATTACAATATTTAACAACTTAAATATCAAAAAATTAATTAATTATCAAAATTTCTCATGTGTCATATGAATCATAATAATTAATAGCTTAAAATATTTTAAACAATTGACTCTAAAAGTATCACATGTACACAGATATTATTTGAAACATACGCTAAAAAAAATATAAAAATAATTAAAAACAAAAATATATGGGATAATACTCAATTACCCCCTAGCCTATACCCAAAATCCCTACGACACACCTAATCTTTGATGAGGTCCTATTACCCCCTCCAACTTTTTTTTAAGTAATATATTACCCCTTGCGTGCCTACGTGGCAAAAATCGTGATTTCACCCATCTAGGGCGCGTGAGTGCGGAGTGAGTGCAGAGTGAGTGCAGCTTTTGGCTAACAATGACCAATAAAAATGAGCCACGTGTCAAAGCAATTTGAAAAAAAAATCAAAAATAAATTTTATTGTTTCTCTCAAAGCATCTTCTTCCTCTTTTCAAAAAATAACCCCATGTTTATGGTTCTTCATTTTTGAAGAAGCTCCATCCATTATCATTCAAGCTCCTTGATTTGAAAAGGTAAAGTAAAATTTAATATATTGTTTACATCTTTTTATATCGATTATTAATTCTTATTTTATGTCGATTATTAATTCTGAACTTGATAATTATATTAAACCAAATGATAAAATAATAAAAGATCAATATTAACAATTTGAAACAAAACTCATTATCTTTATTTATATAGATTTATAATTATGGGGCATAGGGAGTGGGGTGGGACGTGAGAGAGGAGGAGTATATTTCATTAAAGTCACTTTATCAAAAACTGAAAAAGTGGGTCCCGGCCCGTGTTCAACAAACAAATCCACCTTGCAGATTAATTTTGCCACGTAGGCACGCAAGGGGTAATATATTACTTTAAAAAAAAGTTGGAGGGGGTAATAGGACCTCATCAAAGATAAGGTGTGTCGTAGGAATTTTGGGTATAGGCTAGGGGGGTAATTGGGTAATATTCCAAAAAATATTTATAAATTTAGTTAACTCTTCTAATTCTATGTATGTCACGTAAATTAAAATAAATAACGTAATATATCATGTGCATATTGAGCATATATTTTAAAATTTAAAAATATTTTGAGCGTGTATTTTAAAATCTTAACAAATTTATTAATAAAAATTTACACATCAAACTGATCAAGTTTATATTTTAAATCCATTAGTTTATGATATACATTTCATCTTTTTGAAATCTTGAATATGATTCTTAATGATAAGATTAGAAAGGAAAGAAAATACATGTCAAGTCACTTTTCTAGGATCATTTTAAATTTCGAATTGAATACGATTCTTAATGCTAAGATTAAAAAGGAGAGAAAATATATGTCAAGTCATTTTTTTAAGATCATTTTAAATTTCAAATCAAATAGAAATAAATTTGTAACATGAAAATACTTTTAAAAATTCATAATGTTCAAAACTTTCTCTTACCTTTCTAGTGAAAAATAAAATGTGGAATTTCAGCCGCAAAATATAAAATTAGAAAAGGATAAATAGATTATCTTTTTTAGCTTATCAAGATTGTTCGAAAATATACTTCATCAACCTATTGAAATAAATTTGCTTTTTGTTTTATTTATTGAATTAATAATGTCTTCAATGTATTAAAAATTAGTCAAAAATATTCTTCTTTCTCGTGTAAGATCAAATGTGCCCCTCAATTAATCATACAATTTTATATGACATTTAAATAAATTTTCATCAAACATGGGACCTGTAGGTTGGTGATACTAGCATATAGATATTGCCAGTTAATGGGGATAGAGATTGTTCTTTTCCTCCTATACAATGCTTCACCGGCGAAATTAAAAAATTTATTAAAAATAAATTTAAGAATTAATATTGATCAATGAAAAAAATTTGTTTGCATATTTGATATATATATATATACATATATACAGTATAATTTCTTGATAAACGAGGTCTAATTGAGCATCTAATTTATGGTATGTGGCTACACAGGCCACTGCAGTGTTTGGACGAGGAGATAGCAGCAGCTAAAGAGCAATCAATACAAATTGAAGTTCCATTAGCACAGGAGTAGTTCCAAACTTGAGCTAATCATCAGCTAGTCTTATATGTATTTTTGGCTATAATGCATTAGTAAAAAAATAACAAGAGTTAAAAGAAAAATAATTTCAAAAAGAAAAAAGAAGAAGAAGAAGAAAGAAAAGAAAAAATAAAAAGGAGATTTTGTTTTTGTTTATTTTTTTTTTTAAAAAGGAACAAAATAAAAGTTGAGAAAATAGAAAGAAAAAAGAAAAATTAATAAATAATAAAAAAACATTGAGAGACAACTGAGCATAAAAAGATCTGTCGAAATACATCTAAGGTGTGGAGGGACAGAAGTGTTATTGTTCTACAAGTAAAAAAGAAAAGATCGAAAGCACTTTTGAGTAATTTTTCTGGATAGTCACTTGTGTTTGAAAAATTATCTTGGAGTATCACTTATGTTTGTTTAAATTTTATAATATCACTCAATTTTGCTTATTTTTCTCAAAGTATAAATACATTATGTCACTCCTATTAGAATGTCACGTCACATTAATTATTCCTTTTATTTGGATCAATAATTTAAAAAAAAAAATTAGACAACCCATATATTATACCTAGTAAAAAAAATTAGATAAGAAACTGCAATATGAGTTCCTCCGATTCTTCAAGAAAAGGTGGTTTCCTTCGATTCTTCAAGGAATAAATTAATGGACTTGCATAAGGAACTGTCTCCTGGGCCTTTATGTAAATTTGATGTCGACCAAAGAAATCGCCATGAGGTAAAATTCAAGTGTTCTTCTGACTTTTTTATTTTTGAAGTGTATGTGAAATAATTTAAATACTTAACATGATATTGGAGTAATTTTCTTAAAATTTAGGGGGTTTTTTGCTTGCTTGTTTTGAATCGGATATTTCTTTTGTTTGAATCTGTCTAAGCTTTGAACAAATGTTTATAGTATGTGTAAAGATCTTTTTTTATGGTGAACAAGAAACTTTGATTTTTTTTACCGTGAACAAGCAACATATACTTATAGTTTGTGTGAAAATCAGTGTTCCTAATATCTAATTTATCTCTAAATATCCAATTAATTTTTTTATCTTCTTCATCAGTTTCAAGGAACTGATTTAATTTTTGCCTCGACAGCAAGGTTAAGTTTGTGTATGGATATAATGGTAAATACTAGTAAATGAAATACATGATAAAATTTTTCCCTATAAAATTGAAGTATCTAGATTTTCATAGCGGATGGATTAATGTTTTCTCATAGATTCATTAAACAAGATGTCATTTAAAGGATAAAAAATATATTATTAATAGCTCAAAAATATGACATGACATTCTAGTAGGAGAAAGATAATGCATTTTTTGTATCAAGTATATTTTAAGAAAAATAAAAAAAAGTTGAGTGATATTATAAAACTAAAACAAACATAAGTGATACTTCTTAAGTAATTTCCCAAAAATAATTGACTATTAGAAAAATTACTCATATTTTAAAGGGCACCAAAAATCAAGACATCTTTGCGGAGGGAGGAATTCTCATAAATAGTAAAACTTTGAACATAATGAGGCAAAAATAATTATAATTTGTTAATTACAATTTGCATCCGAATACAATTGTATCAATCAGAATGGGTTTTCTCAAAACCAACAAAATTGTAGAGGCCCAATCAAGATTGAGCCATGTAAGAATACTCACCCTAATCAACATAGTTATACAAAATATTGTTGTTTTTCAATTTGTGGCAAAGTGTGTGAGATGCTTGTTGAATATATAGCTAGGGAATGAATCAATCTTGATTCGTCCCTTTTGCCTCAATTCTATGAAATCATCACTAGCAAAAGTCTACAAGAACTATATATTAGTATCAATTAAAAAAAGTTATAGCACAAAGTTACTAAGCACTAATAATGTTAAGCACTAATAAAGTTAGAAATTAGTAGTAATTTCTGCGTCATAACTACTTGAACTTGTTAATATTCGAATTGAAATAGAACATCAAAAGTAATTAAAACGTTGAAATAAACCTAGGTCTAACTGAACGAATGACAAAAGCACAGTAAAACTATATAATAACAAACTAGAGAAAGTTACTTAGCACTAATAAAGTTAGAAATTAGTAATTTCTTGTCATAACTCTCAACTATTTCAGCTACTTGAACTTGTTATATTCAAATTGAAGAAAATGTGAAAAAATGAAAAACTAAAGTAAATAATAATTCTGAAATAAACTTAGGTCTAATCGAAAGAATGACAAAAGCATAGTTAAAATGGCAACAACAAACTAGACAAAGTAAAAGATACTACTTTGCATTGCATAAAAAAGCATATAATTGGTAGATTCTTGGTACAAAAAGCATATATTCATTCCCCCTCACAATTTTGTTTGTTTTCTCTTCTTTTTCTATTCATCCATGTTGCCTCTACTCTACCTAAATACCTTAAATTCCCACCAAGAATAATACCACAAAAAACAAAAACAAAAAAATAAAAGATTGTGCATACTACTATTGTGCACCAAAGTCCCACAAATGTATAGTAGCATCACTTGAACAAGCTACCACATACCTTTCATCAGCAATTATAGCATTAACATCACCTGTTCTTTCCCCAAAACTATATAGATAGTTTCCATTTTCAATATCCCATACCCTAACAACATTCCCTAGCCACATAAATCCATATCCTCCATTTACGCATCCAACAACTCCTCTTTGGTTAGCACCTCTAACAGTAAACCTTGATCTTTCCTCCAAATTATCCGCCCTACGCACGTTAGCCATGCCTCGAGTGTCAACAGCCACTAGTGTCTCGTTATAGGCATCGAATGATGCAACGATGATCCCTCTTCGGGAAGGTTGTGCTCTTATTATTATGCCTTGGTTTTGTAAGTCAATTACCATTAGCTGAAGGCTTGTACATGCCACGGCTGTCTCTCGAGTTGTTACTCGGATTCGACCAACGATTTCGGTTAATTCGGTTAGTAGGTGCCAACCCATTAAAGCTTCTGGATCTGTTAATTCACCACCAACAAAGACTAGTTCTTCTGTCTCCCTATTCCATATGTGAAATGCCCTCCCTGGAACACCTGAAAAAATGCAAGTGCATCAACTTAAACGAATGTATCGTAACTAAAACTTGTTCATACTTCAAAGAACTGATCGGAAACAAAACACTTTGTTTATAGGCATAGTAGAAAGGATAGAATATACGCGTAATCATTCTTCTCGAATCGCTTATGGACCAGTTTTTCCATAGTGGCATAAAGTTTCAGGATTCAGCTTGAAGTCTAATATATAGAATCAAAAAATGTGTTCACTTTTTTCATTCCATATTAATCACAAAAAGTCAAAAATAATTACGAACACAACTTTAACTTTCAAATATTATTCAACTTTGAAAACAAAATCCTACTCTCTTTTTTTTTCAAATTTCATAATCAAACGTCTACTTTATTTTATGCGGTGCCTATCGTCACATTTTATGTTGTAATAAAAGGTACTACATAAATTGTTCACTTGGTCAAGAATTTTGACCTTTCATCAAAAGAAAAAAATGAAAAATGACAGCACACAAAACAAGAACTACAAATTAACAAGCCTTACCTAGAATATTCAATAATCAAAACTTTAATCTAAGCACCTTTTTTTCCTCATTATCCACACGCACATTACTGTTTTTTCATCAAAAGTATAAAAATCAACTTTTAACACTAGAACACGCTTAGACAATTTATGGAAATAATAAAAATAATACCTGCATAGAGTCCAACCCACCATTGGTCAGAGCCAGTAAAATCCACCAAAGCACCATCATTGACTACATCACCTAAATGAGCCCTTCTAGGTGGTGCAGCATCACCAATGACCACTACATGAATATCACCATCGAGAGAAGCAAACACAAGTTGAACATCAGATAAGATAATCCCAGAAACAGCCCTAGAGAATCGGCCTAAACGATCGCGATGATGAGGGTGGTATGTTGACAAATGTAGCCTCCTAGGTAGGAAAAATAATTGAACCGAGCCGTTAGAAAAACCAGCTGCTAGATGATGATCAGACAAGGCTAAACGACGACAGAAGAGACTGTCGTTGTTGTTATTGTTGTTGTCATTATCATCATCATCACCGTCCACATTGTTTTGAGGAACGAAATGGAGGGTGTTATAAGTGTATCTATGGTGAAGGAAATTATTGGCTGTTTGATGCCAATATATGTACTCCTCCCTCCATGTTTGCCTGAGAAGCTCGTGGCGGTTCCATATACGCCTTGTTAGGTTTTGCCAGAGCATATCTGAGTGTGACACTGCTTGCCATGTTGAACAAACCTGAATTTAGTAGCCATTACAAAGTTAATATTATTCAGCAACATCATTTAAGAGTATGTAACAACAAAAGTCATGTATTAACAACTAAACTTAATATTAAGCCATGCTATGCTCATGCTTACTAATTAGTGACATATACAAAATTTATATTTCACAACTAGAGTCTGGAGAGAACAAAGCATATACAATGCAGATCATATACCTAATTAAGTTGGGGAAAAAAATTGTTTCTGAAGAATCCTCAACTCAAGTACACAACATATCAAAATAGGTAAACAAAGCAACTTATAAGGAAACAGTAACAATAACCTAAACACAACCAATAACAAGAAGCAAGACAGTATAAAACTACAACTAAACCCCTCAGAAATAAAAAACAACACCATTTACACCTGTTAACCTTTTACCCTAATTTCAAAAATTGAAGAGTTGTGAATTAGAGGCAAATACATAAATATTTTAGATTAGATTATGAGATACTATAAGTAAGTATAATTGGATTAAGAGTTATAAGTAAGTATAATTAAGAAGCAAGTTGGAAAAAAAGTAAAAAAGAAAATGGGAAAACCTAATTGTAGAATAAGGATGGAGCCTAGGGAGTCAGAAAGGAGTCAGTTAGTAGGGGGGCAGAGTAGAGGTAAACATGGTAGCCAGTCTTAGGGTAGAAGCTAGATTTCATCAGGTGAAGCAACAAAAAATATACTGACATTTCTCTCCTTTTAAATACACCCCACCCCTCCTCCAGGCTTACTAACACAAGCTACTGTTAACACACAGTAACATCCTTCAATCACATAACTTTTAATTACTCATTCTCTTTCTCTCAACTCTCACAAATTAGGTGAAAATTCAAATAATAAATCAAATGAAACATTTTTATTAGTACTAGTTGGAAAAAGATGTGATTTCCCAAGCCAAAGTATTTTTGTTTTTTTTAAAAAATAGACAAGGGACAAAAGCATTCTTGAAGAGTCAAAACTGACACAAGAAAAAGAGATTGACTTGAACAAAATCCAAACACATAGATACAAAAATTGAACTGCTTGCTTTGTGGTCCACACAACATACACGAATACCATAAGCACAACCCAATATCAACCTCATCACAAATAAATCTTTGTATATTATTGGGGTCGAGATTAATTATCTTGACCAGGATGAGTTATTGATACATGTATATGAGATAATTTATCATATCATTAATGTATAAATAGTGCGATAAATAATTTAAAATTTAGCTAGCACCTTCAACAAAATGCATAGGATAATATTAAATTTAAATTTATACTGATATTATTATTCTTTCATACAAGACACCACATGACCTCTATTATATCTTTTTTTCTTTCATTTCCAAGAAAGGTGGCCTTATGGCTTTTCTCGTTAGAAACAACGAATCTTTATACTCTTTTTTGCCACTTTCAATTTCTTCATATTTGTTTGACCATTGACATCTAATTAAACCAACAATAAGCTAAAACAAAAGCATTTTATCCTAAGAATTCTAAATTAATAATGGTCTACATTTTAAAATGTAGAAATGAAGTGCTTCTAGGGAAGACAAAAAGACACCATCTATGAGACTTCAATCTAGATTAGTACATATTCAGATACTGTGTGATAATGTTTTTGTTGTCCTTTAGCTCCTGAGATGAGAATGTGGGGGACCAGAAAACATAAAATAGTTACCCAAAGGATTATAAAAAAAAAAGCTTTTTTTATGGTTTACCTAAATCATATCAACCAAACATGTTGGAAAATTAAAGAAAAAAAAGTAAAACTCTAAAAAAAGAAGAGTGAGAGAGAATGAAACCAAATAGTGAAACAAAAGAGAAGGGTTTGTGAATTGCAAACATCTCTAACTAAATATACACATTCTGTTGGCAGTACTTACTAGAGTTTGAAAAAGGTCATGCAACAAAAAGGAAATGAACTTCAAGAGAAACCAAAAGAACCCTTTTTTCCTTATGACTATATGCTAAATATGGATAACCTAAAGTATGAAAATGATGGCTGTATTACTCTATATTCCTTTCAACAAACGGAACTAGTAATTAATTTCATCATCAAGAAACTACCAACAAAGAATTAAAATTAAAGAAAATAAATTCAAATTCTGATGCACAAGTACAACCTTCCTCAGACTTAAATTTATAGTTCTGATGATGCTCAAATCTTTACATCCTGCAGCCTACATGCCTAGCTATTTTAAAATACATACATCATCAAGTACTTGCAAAATTTTACTTTATCCATCAACCATTTCTTCACTTTTTCAGAAAATCTTTAATGCAAATCTACATAATCTTGTTATGTTATGTAACACTATAATTGGTCAAACAAATTAAGCCCCCCACAAATAATATAATTATGTAAAAATCATTACAATAATTTCATCTTCTAATTTTTAATGATTCAAACGCACAATCTTAGAATTGAAAATGAGAGTGAGGAATACTTTATCATACGTACAACTCTTGTATACGACTAGTAATTTAATTATAAAAAAAAGGTGCCTTACCTGAAAAATAAGAGCTAGGGCTTGAGCAGCAGCCAAACGGCCAAGAGAATGTGAAGCATCAATAGCAACTAACAAAGCCAAATCCTCCACAAATGGCTCAGGCCAAACATCATTTCCAACACGTCTACCTCTCCTAGAAGAAGAAGGTCCTTCTCCTCCTCCTCCTAAAGATGATGGTGGTGATTGTGAAGACGACATATATTTTTTTTGTTTGGACCAAAGTTTTGTTGTGAGAAATAAAGATACTACGAACTTCTATTTATATACTAAGAAGAATAAGAAGAAGTACAAAGTGAAATAAATAGGGTTCTTGAAGTTTTAGTAGTAGTAATGATGAGTGAATGAATATTTTTTTTTGTGTGTGTGTTGTGTGTGTATGTACAAATAAAAAATTGGACGTTCTCTTGATTTGTCACCACTTGGTTTTTCTTTGTCATTCTAAGACGGCGGAGAAGAACATGTCTTTGACCTCTCTGAAATATTAGTATAACGGAAGGAAGAAGAATAGAAGAAACTAATGGTTTCTTCCATGACTCATTTTTATTATATTAATAATACTAATAACTTGATACGTCCACTCCTTGTGTTCCCTTCTAAAAAAGATAAACTTTTTTTACTCTTTTGATCAATCTATTCTATGTACTTTCTTTTTCACTTAAGTGTTTTTTTGTACTTCCAATTCATATATGTGGGTGTTAGAAAGTAGTGGGGGTGGGTAGGTGGAGGATTTGTTTTTTTCTTGTGTTATAATTGTGTAGTGATGACAAATCCAATTTCTTTCTCCTTTAGGATGTTTTTTTCTTTAAGTTTATTGTTTGGATTTAGTGTTCATGTAACCATTAATTCATAAAAAGAAACTCTTATCCTTGTTCCAATTACATGAATTGTGAAGCATGCTCCTTTCTACTGCCGTAAGTAAATGCTTTAAACTTTATAAACTGAAATAAAGTTCACAACATATTTTAAGTAAACAAGAATTGAATTTTTAAGGTAAAGTAAAATATTTGATTATTTCAATTATTATAAGCACCTCTTTTTTTTTTTAATTCAATAAAAATAATGTGGTGTTTATGTGTTGGGGATTAATACCTTGTACACGTAGCAAAACTCAAAGAACACGTGACACATAAGATTGAAGGAGAGTGTGCGATGTGATTCTATTGACATTGTGCTCAAAACAAACACCAATTAAAGAGCTCGACTTATACTCTTCATCAAAATTGCAACATGGTCATTATATAAAAAAGGGTGGGAGCTCATTCCCTCCGCGCGCCCCCCCCCCCCCCCCCAAAAAAAAACAAAGGAATCATGTTCCCCTGATAAAACAAAAGGGCGGATACGTTAGATGTATGCATACAAATCCTCCGTCGGTTATTCCCAATCTAACAATTTTTGGCTCACTAGCTAGCAAAATCAAGATAAATTTTATCAAAATACTTTTTAACTTTTACATTCGATAAATGAGACATAACATCTACGTGCTCTTCTATTTTTACTGTGTCATCTCATATGAGGAACAGAACTGGTTGAAGCATACAATCTCTATAATCTAAGTAGGAGTTTACAAGTCAAATCGTAAAATCAAATCGAATTGATGAACCAAATCAAATCGAGAAAATGATTTTTGGTTTGAAGGTTGAAAAAAAAATCGTCCAGTCTTTGTTTGATTTGATATTAAAAGAAAAAAAATCAAATCGAACCAAACCAAGTCAACATGTATGTATAAATTTTACTTTATTTATAGCAAAAAATATTATTTGTAATCTACTTTGTTAATATATTTTTAGTTAGTTTATAGTTCAATATTTACATATTTTATTTTATATTTAGGCTTGTAAAAATTGTAAATATTTTATTTTGTATTAAGATCCGAGATTACAATTATATTGTTATAGTTTGTGAAAACATATTTGATCTCTTTTTCGAATACCGTATAGTTGTAGAAAATTTTTTTAAAAAAATAAAAAATCGAAACAACGAACTAAAGTCGAAACCAAAAATATCGACTTTATGTGGTTCGATTTGATTTCTAGATTTAATAAACCAATATAATTGGTTTAGATTTTTTTTTAAGAAAACCAAATCAAACTGGCCTATGTACATCCCTAACACTATGTTTGGATCATTGTTATTCATTGTATTGTATTGCATTGTTACTATACCTATAATGTTTGTTTTGATTGTTAATTAAAATGTATTGTACTGTATTTCAAAATTTCGTTGTTATGTAACAATGAAAAATCATATTTTATGGAACAATCAATTTTGTGTGTCCAACTGTTACTTAATTTCTTTTTCCAATTATATATTTACATAATATTTCAAAGGCTGAAATCATCTATAACCACCTAAAATTGTCCACATATTTCATTTAGATACCTATTCTTCAGCTTGTTCCAATTGAACACTTATTTATTTTTTAAAAAATACTTATTGAACATATTTTGACAATTAACTAAAAGTAAAGACAGAATGTCCTACGCTCGCTGCTGATGTGGCATAATAGTTAATAAAAAAAAGACATGTGGCATTGGGCCCATAAAACACTTAAACATAAATTAAAAAAATAAAATAAACAAAATTTATGTTTTCATTAAAAAAAAATAATTAAAAAAAAATGTTTCTTTCCCCTTTTCTTCTTCTTTTCCCAGAACATCCTACCCCATCTATTCACCATTTCCCTTAGCGCGAGGCACAAAATTGAAGCATTTCGATAGTAATTTTGGATTTGACTCTTTTTCCTTTCAATTCAAAATTATATGAATTTATTTTTCATCCATCCATTTATCCTTCTTCTTGAATCTTATTCATTATTATAATTGGTATTTTTCCCAATCTCACTACTTTCTTAAATATTAATTTAGATTTGTTGATATTATTTTCTTCTATGTTGTGAGTTCTTTAGAATTTAAATTTCTTAACGATTTTGAAAAAAATAATTTCAGATTCGTCGGAAAAAATGGAGTTTCCTCAAAATTATTTTTGATTCTATTTCTTACCACAATATATTTAAATATTTGTGAAGTCGATGGTGGGTGGTAAAAGGAGAGAAAGAAAACGATGGCTTAAAAAATAAAAAAGAAAAAAGAATGACCGGAGAAAGAATGGTGATGGAGGAAAGTTGATAGCAATGGTGGTTAAGTTGAGTCAAAGAAAAAGAGGAGATATTACTTTAATTTTTTTTTAAAAAATCTTTTTTTTAAAAAAGTAAATGATATCTTCCACGCTCTTTAGATGTGTATATTACACACATAATGCCATATGAGCACAAAATGTCTAATAAGTACAAATTTATTGTAGTATAGATGTTCAATAGGATAAAGATTGAATTGGGGTGGCTAAATGAAATATTAGAACAACTTTAAAGGTTTGTGTATGACTTAAGTCTATTTCAAAATACAGTTTTACCCTTTATCTTAATTATTTAAATCTAGTCAAACCTCCTACCCTAGAATAATTAAGCACATTTTAGTAAATTTATAAATTACAATACAGTACGATACGATCAAACCAAACAATTAAAATGTTATTAAAGAATAAAAAATAATACAGTCTACTCAAACATTGTATCTACCATACACTATAATATAATAGAGTACAATACACATTATAAAACAATGGATAACAATGATCCAAAAAAGTGTAAATTTAAGAATAGGAGTTTATAATGCATCGCTATAGAAATCGAAAGTATGTTTGATTTTGATTTTTGGGTTAACTAGTTCTCTCAAATAACCAGTTATAAATGTCTAGAAGCTTGAGAAACATATCAATTCGATTTAATATGTATTAGTCTGAATGCAACATACAACGAAGAATACATACTATTTATACATAGTGAATAACTAATCTCTTCTAATTACTTTTAAAAGTGTCTTACTTCTTTATTGCGAGTCTTTTTTAAAAAAAATACTATTCAGATTTCATCCCATAATATACTTTCTCTCCGAAATTCTATCATCTCCTAATTATTGTACTTCTCTCCAAAATTTTCTCTTAAACATAAAATTTTCATAAGTTGTAAAATCATTAAAATAGTTCAAATTGTTTATTCAATCTTATCTAATAAAAAATTATAAAATCGCATAATAAATTATTACAAAGATATTTTTTCTCCACTTAAGTAATTGTTTCATCTAGTTTTAATTTAATAAAATAAATTGAACATAAATTGTATTGTACTAGTTTTTAATATAATTCTCTCACCTAGTACGAAAAAATTCCTCAAGTTGAACTTGCATTTCTCGATCATGTGGCTGAGAGATGAACCAACATTGTTACTTTGAGCCATTTGTTGGTCAATATCATCCACAACTATATTTTCATGTTTATAGACCATAAACATTTCACCACTTTTAACAATCGGTTGGTGTGAGTTATAGTGACTATATGTTGGTGAGAATAATAAATTTTATGTCGATGAGAATGATACAATTTAAAAAGTAATGATGTGATTATAAATTTTATTTACATATGAAATAAATGGTTAGTAGGTATAAATGTGGGGTTGTTTTAACAAACAAAAACTTGTGGCTTAATTTTTGTATTAAAATATCTCAAATCATGATATGAAATCATCATGTAATTTCATATCATGATTTTTAGAGAATATGGAATCACATCTCATGATATGGAACCATGAATTGGAATCAGCGTGAAATCGCATGTCCATAACGCTGATTCCATCTCACAATATCATATCGTAATATGGTATCACATGGACAAACACCTACTTAACTTTATATTAGAGTCAATCCTGCAACTTGCTACTCCCTACACGCTCCTTAAGTAAATGTTAATTAAGGGATTGTTGTTTGACTATTTCCTCTTATATATGTCTTTAAGAAACAATTTTTTAATTATGTATTTATTTTATTTAGGACATCTCCAACCTCACACTCTATTTACTCTCCAAATATATAGTTTTCTAATTTTTCAGATAATCAACTCCAATCTAATTCTCTGTTTTACTTTCTAAAAAATATTTATTTTCTCTCTCCTCAATATTATATTATTATTTATATTTCATTCTTATTATCTTATTTCATAATAAATTCTTTATTTCCTTTTCGCACTAGTTACTTTATATAATTTTCATGTGATTCTTTTAAAAAAATGAATCTAATATAAAATTATAATTTTAAATAACATAAATTGCAATAAAATGTTGCATAAGCTACAAATTAATGGACAAATTCAAATAAAAGTAAAATACAATTATATAAATACTCAATTTTTCAAAATTATTACGTTGCTTCAATAAATACTCTATTAATGCATTACGGAGTTCAAAATGAGCATTTTTGTCCTTTTTTTTTCTAGCTAAAAGTTATTCCAATAAGAGATTTTTATCTACCACCATTTCTGTCGTTAGAGTTGGAGCTTCTACGACATCTTGAATTGGTGCATTAAGATCAGTTCATCCTCAATTACCATGTTGTTGAGTATAATACATTTAGTCATTATATCATGGAGCACTTCTTTTCTCCAAAAACGTGGCGGTCTTACAAAAATTGCAAAACGTGATTGCAAAACTCTGAATGCACCTTCAACATCTTTTCGGCATAATTCTTGTTTCATCGCGAATTAATTATTATGTTATGTATTATATTTTATCTTATAT